ATGATACGATAGACGTTTATTAATGACTTACATCAATGATTCTCTGTGAGAGTGTGCCATCAGCCATCTACAAGTAAGTAATTTTATGATTGAAATCACTAACATGTTGTAGACACTGATCCAATATAAGGATAGGTTCCAGGATGCATTGTGCCCTTTACAAAACTATTACATACATCTATGATTGTCATTATTACTTTTATTTATCAAATATATTGATTCTGTTATGCAGATTGTCAATTTTACCAACCTACTATATTCCAAAAGATGGACCATTACAGACATACAGAGTGAGTGAGTTTTATATAATTGTTATGTACTTTTCTTGTCGGAGCTATATATTGAGTTGAGTTGTTATCTATGTTAATGTATTGTAACGCAGAAAATATGACACCAGGCAGATGTGAAGTCACCATGCGTTCTTTTAATTTCCAATATGAGCAACTATGAAAGTTAACACGACTGAAACCTACATAAATACAATAAATAGTCAAGATTAATGCAATGTCAGTGGAGGTATGGAGATCATAATTTCAAGTAGAAACCATGATATCAAAATAGAATAGTTTAGCTACTATGTAAGTACTGAATGTACGAACCACACAATAAACTGAATCATTCCTCTCAATAGACTCAAGTCGACGCATAGAGACTTCCTTTCTTCATGAATATAAATAAAATAACATCTAATGCGAGTCACAGAAATAATATTGCACTAGAGTAGCGTATATAAACTTACCCCAACCAGTACAATTCAGTGACGCCCTGTATAATTACATAGTTTCTTTTTACACGCAAACACACCTACAATAATTTAGAAAAAATAAACGAGTCGTGATAACTGCTGAACTTGAATCATAACCATTCACACATTTAAACAGTGCCACAAACTCGGACCAGTTCTCATTTAGAAAAACTACAATTACACAAATATATACACAAATATATACACAAATATATACACAAATATTACATAAATATTACGCAAATACAATAAGAAAAATGAACAATTCATAATAAGTTTATGTATCCCGAATAACTAATTACCACTATGAACAGGTGAAATGGGCTTTCAACGTTGTTCCGTGCAAACAATGGGTACACGTGGCGTACACGCTCCTACTCGTGTTTTACAAGTTAACGAAATATACAATGTTTACACTAAATTATTTTTTGAAATTGTTTGTTTGTCAGGAATACATCAGTATGTTACCTGGAGTAGATCATCCTGAAGCATTCGGTCAACATCCTAATGCAGATATTGCCAGTCAAATTACAGAGACACGTACATTATTTGATACTTTGTTGTCATTGCAACCACAAGTTACTGTGACTCAAGGAGAAAGTAGAGAGAGTAAAGTATTAAAATTAGCTGCTGATGTGCTGGAACGTATACCACCCAATATAGATTATGAAGGAACTGCTAAAATACTCAAAGATGATCCTTCTCCACTTAATGTAGTTCTATTACAAGAGGTAGGTTCTTTTGTTTTAATCTGGTTTATAATCCTTCAATACAACATTTGTTTATTTAGACTGTTGATGAACTTAATGAGTTCTTACCATGACATTATCAAAGAGATGCTCATGAATATGCTAATTTGAACAACAGATTTTTTATTTTCTCAAAAATATGATGTCCAAACTAAAAAACTGCCATATTTTTGAGTATTTGAGCAACAGATGTATATTTTCTTAAAAAGTATGATATTTGACATCAACCATCTACTTCAACAGTAAGAATAACGGCATAATATATTTCTACTGATATAAAATATAATTCCTGTAAATATGATAAAATAATATTCAAACTCATATTACAATTTTTAAAAAATCTCAGCGAACTCAAGCAAATATCATGAACGAGCAGAATCACCTCACAGAATAGGCATGCAATAATAAATTGTTATTGTGTGTCAACACTCAATTTGTATGTGTTTGCCTGGTCTGTATCATACTGTTAAATCTAGAACCTAAATGTATGTTTCTTTTTTTCAGATTCAAAGATACAATTTCTTGCTGGAAAAGATCCGTTCCTCTTTAATTGATTTAGATAAAGGTATTAAAGGGTTGGTTGTTATGTCAAATGATTTGGAAGAAATCTTCAACTGTATTTTTGATGCCAGAGTACCAGCAACATGGCAGAAGGTATAACAGCTGACAATTGAATCATTTATTTCACATTTCTAATTATCCTAACTTGCTGCATCCACTGCTTATAATTTCATTTTATGTAATACAAGTATGTTCTATGTTTTTTACAGGCATATCCATCTAACAAACCACTTGCTGCTTGGACACGCGACTTAGTACAGCGTGTAGATCAGCTTGAGAAATGGGCAAGCATAGCACATCCTCCTGTGTTATTTTGGATGTCTGGTTTTACCTTCCCTACTGGATTCCTAACCGCTGTATTACAGCAAGCTGCTCGACAGAATAATGTAAGTCATTATTAAATAACATTCATACAAATATAAAGATTATTCTGCATCTCAGGAATTCTCTGCCATTTGTGAACAATTAAAGACAGATTATTTATATTAGAATGACGGTGATTACTATGGCGACTACTAATATACTGAGAGGTGTTGTTACTTAATACTAATTTGATAATAATCTGTTAGAAGTTATATGAACACGCCAGTATCAATGTTTTCTCTTTTAGATCTCTGTTGACTCTCTCTCATGGGAATTTATTGTATCTACTGTGGACGATAACAACTTAGTACAACCACCTAAAGATGGTGTCTGGGTTAAAGGACTTTACTTAGAGGGTGCCGGTTGGGATAAGAAGAATGCATGCCTTATTGAAGCTGCTCCAATGGAACTTGTTTGTCAAATGCCAACTATTCATTTCAAACCAGTTGAAAATAAAAAGAAACCTGGCAAGGGTAAGCTTGTTCACTTTCATCTTCTAAAACTAGCCACACCACAGGTTTCTGTCAACAAATGTTTTATTTATTGCCTTTATGGTTCTTAAAGCCAAGATAGAATGCATGTAAAAAGACTACTACACCTGTATTTTGTGTTCTTTCAGGTACATATGGATGTCCATGCTACTACTATCCAAACAGAAATGGCACTAGTGATAGAGCATCATATGTTGTTGGTGTTGATCTTAAAGGTGGATCCTTTGGAGCTGATCATTGGACTAAGAGAGGAACTGCCATATTAATGAGTTTAGAATATTAAGTCAATCTTATGATTGAATGTCATCATAATTTGATTTTCAACATTCATCTAGTATTTCAGATGCTTTTTGTAAATATTATACAAGTATATTAGGATAGATCATATTAATGTTACAAAATCTGTATGTATTGTTACTGCATGTTTTTTGTTTTCATTTCTTCACATTCACGAGTCTTGTGTTATTTACAAAGACAGTTTTGTTAAAGTATACATCCACTGAACATATATCAACGTGTACTGTAAAACATGTTTAGCTCAACACTGTTTTTAGCAAATTCAACTTATACATTTTCAAATGGTTGTGCATTAAAGTTGCCCTTCAAGATCTTTACTAAAATTTAAATTGGGTCATGTGACTAGTATGTGACGCATATGCTATGAACATTAATTATTCAATGATTGTCAGCACAGCAATGTTAGTGACCATTTTACTGTTTGAATGATCTCAGAGAGCATATTTACATTACATAATACATGTAGTATCAAGACCCATATAAATCTTTATAGCCGGAGAGCATGTTTTAAAGCATACATTTGCTTTACACAGCTGTCACAATTGCATTTGTTTTCGATTTCCCTTCCAACAATTTGTGTATTGAGTGATTTTTATAAAAACAAATACTATTTCTTTATATTGAGAAGATTGGCTTCATCAAGTTATTGATCCGTCCTGCTTTGATTGTATTTATAATATTTGAAATATGTATAGTTTGTATAATATATTTAATAAAAATTGCTGTTTTACAATATTTACAGTGTGGTTGCCTGTTTCTGCATCCCCTGCAACAATGATATACTATAGTATTATGGTTTACACCCCCCCCCCCCCCCGCAACATATACCCGTGTAACCCTACTTTGCAATCAATTTGACTTGGCCCGGAAAAAATGCACTCACTAACTAATGGAAACCTAATTTATAAATCAAAGAAAGCTTAGAAAGAACTTCTGTGTGCTGAGAGTATTGGAGACACATTAAAATTAATTCAAAATTTAAGATTTGCTTTTCAAACTAGAAGCTTGGCAACTAATATTTGTCTGCTATTCGAGTTGCACAACATGAAAACAATGTGATTCACATTATCAAAATTTATAATTCATACAGAAAATACAATTGATCTTTTATCCATGGTTTTTAGCCTAATTCCAGAGCACCTCTGTGATGAATTCAATCTGATTTTTTTAAATAACAGTATGCATGTTTATCAACATTAAACTAATCATGTCTGGATCAAATGAATTATTATACAAATTAAGCAATTATTATGCACAGATTTAGGCCTTTATATTGTTTCAGGGTGCACATGTACAACATTTCATTATGTGATTAGTAATCCTAACTAATTTAGTGGAAAGCTGAAAAGTTAATTATTATGCAAATTGGGTAATTATTATAGATGTATAAAAACCTAAAACTAATTAGATCATCACATTGAATTAAGATAAGTACTGTCACAGACCATCCATGTAATGAAGTTTCATTGAAATGTGATTAGAACCAAAACATGAATTATTATGCTTTATTATTTTAAACCAAAACTGAGCAGATGTTCTAGAGCGTCAATATACCAAGTTTCATTGCAATGGAAAAATTAGTACATTTGTCAGTGTAAAAACCGAAAATTAACTAAGTATGCAACTTAGTTGATTAATATGCACACATTTTTACTCAAAATTAATCAGGTCTCTGCATTGTTCTAGAGCATCTATGTACCAAGTTTCATTGAAACGTAATGAAGTAATAGTACTTGAAATATCAAAAGCTGAAAATTATGCAAATTAGGTAATTAATATTTCACACATGTCTGTGCATTGTCCCAAGTATCTATGTAAATTTTGATTGTTACTGATTCAGTAATGGTGGAAATGGTTTTGAATCTTAAACTGAATCATGAAATGAATGCATGTATGTGATGCTTTGAAACAGAGAAGCCAAAGATATGCTTCTGAACAACATTTGATTTGTTCTGGAAAACTAAATAACATGCATCAATGTTGCATACTGTCCAATGTATAAACAAAGTCAGATTTGATTCTATGACAAATACTTTATTTTGAATAAGGTTTAGTAAATGTTCTCTAAAATGGACACTATTCGGCCACTTTGAATCAAATCACAACATGAATGCACATGCATGTATCCCAAGTTGCACGTGTACCCAATAGTTTGAATATTTCTGAAAATACAGTGATTCAGAATATGATCCTCTAGATTCACAGGGGTATAGTACACATAACAGAGCAAACAATCAGTTCACCTTTTTTTCATCACTATCACAAAACTTAATACCTTGCACTCGGGAATGAATGGCCATCGAATTAATTCTTCTCACTTGGAAATCAACAGTTTACCGTAAGCAGACCTTTCTGTGCTCCATACTCTGTGTACAAATCTGATAGCCTTAATGGTAGTGTGAGCACTTAATGTCACTTGCCTTGTCTACTAGTATCTCCACATGTACAGGGAAAGGAAATTTCACATTATCAATTTAACAGAAATGAAACGCTAAACTTGACGGGGTCAACTTTGGTCACATTATTATACAACTACTGGATGTCCCAGGCTTTGCATCAACTTGACTTGCGAGGGAAACCTGTCCTGGGTAGAGCCTCTGGGCAACAGTGCACATGGACGTCAAAGCCCGATTGGACAACTATTTCAAATACTTGAATAATATAGTGTTCTTGGTTCCGAGTGTAATAACACAAAAACTATGAATACAGTCCAATGATATTGGCCTAACTTTACCTTGCAGGTTTGTTATGAAGATTTACACCCCCCTCCATTTTCTCAAATTAATCACATTAATTTTATCAATTGTAAGCCTGCTGACTGCTACTTGTCACCTCATGGAATTTAGGTTTGATTGAAGCCCGTCATCTTAATATGCAACATTCATTCAAACACAAAAAAGCACACTAACGATCAGCCTGTTTTAAACAATATTTTATTAAGAAAGGTTCCTGCATATCTAACTCTAATTTTGATATACAATTACATTTACATAATTTATACAAAAGTGTTTTCACGACTGCTTATACTCTGATATCATCAAAATTCAATATTAAAACCAGCGACTTTGTTCCATTCATACCGACAGGAAATAATTTGCATAGAGTAATGCCAATCTTGAGATGTGTCACTTACCTTTGGGGCTACAATGAAGGAAGAAATTGGGTTACCAAATATTCAATAAAAACGTAAAGCAATATATATGTATATACAGTAGTAGACCAGAATGAAAGGAAGAAAGCCTCTGGTTTTGACAAACTAAAAATGACAACCAAAATTAGTACCAGATACACAAGAACACCTTCACTCTGGTGATCATAGCTAAGATCCAAAACAAATTCTCTTGAGTGATTCCAACATACGCCAACAGTAACATCCGAGCTTAAAAGCTCTGAATATTTATCCTTATCTGCCTTGTATTTAATGGAATTAATTGAATTCTGACTTTTCACCATTACAATAGAACATCACTTGAGTTTATATCTAAGGACAATGATTTCCTGTAATGGACCAAGATACCTGAACCTGACAGGGTAACGTATACCAAGTGTTTTTCTCACAAAATCAAAGCTCATAAGTGACTATTCACACTCCATCAGGTTTTGCTTTAAAACCAAATGACAATTTAGGTCTGGCTTTCTTTTTGTTGAGAATCAGTTCCTGCTCTTGTTTAATTCGTCGCTTTTGTTCCTGCTCAAAAGCAAGTCTCTGTTCCTCCATTTTTCGTTGCGCCTCAACCATTTGTAATCGTTCTTCCGCCTTTAGAAAAAAGAAAAGGGAAGATGCAGAGTTTAACATAAATGAATACACAGTTGGCAAACATGTAATCTGCATATATGGTATACTTACATAAATAATTTACTAAAGATGGCAAAACATGTGTATTGGGAGGCACAATAAGTTTATATTTATTTACTCCTTAGGCTACACTATCATTTTGTGAGCTACAGCCCTTTATTCTTAGCATCACATTACAGCGTACATCTTTGCAATTTTTTTCCAGGCCCAATTCATTAATTACTTTTAGAGTAATACATTACTAAGTTTCAATAGCAAACCAGAATGCATTGGCAGCATTACGGTACACGTTGAAATTCTCTTGGCAGCTGATTTCTTCATTCATCCAGCGTATATAGACTGCGGTGGTGAGGGAATTTTAAAATGAAAAATTAAGCATGAATTACATGTATTTCACTTCAAAATTATATGCTGTGCAAGTGAAAACTGGAGGATTAATAGTTGGTTCAAAAAATAGCAATTTTAAATGAAATTCACATATCAACAGGAATTGCTGGGATAAATAAAAAAGTTTATCGTAAATAAGATTACACTTGAAAACAATTTTGTTCATCTTTCCTCCTAGTTTCCTCTGCTGGTTACAAGTATGTATGTATACAAGAAACAAGTCATCACCATTTATAACCCATACAAAATGCACACTATAACACAATCAAACTTCGCTGATCCATAAAATTGTACTTGTAATTGGAAACCACAAATACCAACACGCTCTCCTTTTTCAAAGCTTGATTTTGGCCTCACCAATTTTCTCTGTGCTTCCTCTATTTTACGTTGATTCTCCTCCATAATTTTTTCAAGTTCCTCTCTTTTCCTACATTCCTCCTCCTAAAAAAAGAAACAAATTTTAAAGGTTGACACAAGAAAATCTGAGAAAAAAAGTTGTAAGACCTATTGCTACAATGTACTGAGACCCACACATTCATACACAAGCCAACATTATTAAACCATACTTTCTACAAAACCACAATAACTAGAAAGTGCAAAGAAGAGAATGCATACATCACCTTACCGTTTATATACCTCACCTGTTTTTTTTTGTTTTTTGTTTTTTTATTCAGCCTGAAAATATTTTAATACAGTATGAACAAATCCACTAACAGTATACTGAAAGTATAAATACCTTCAGTAAATGCTTGGGCCAGCCATCTCGGCATCCAACTGACGGCAACTCCTTCCTCTTTTAGTCAAATCCACACACACAGCATCTTCCACAGTTAATAACAGCTTACTTCTTCATTTCATTAATTTTCCCTTACTTTTTTTTTATTATTTGTTTTCACAGAAGTAGTACTCATCTGTCCCTTCCTAAATGTCTATGTAACATACAAGTGGTACTGACTGCCTCGCCATTTACTACTTTTTTCTCATATCTATGTAATATTCTTTTCAATGCATAAACATCCATAGAATGTTTTGACATTTTTTATTGAAGCATGTTACGGGATAAGTTGAAATAAATTGGTGTTAAAAGTACATTTTTTAGTTTCAATAAAGAATAAAGTGAGTTTACATGCTAGAAAGAACAAGGTCATTTTGTTTATGGAACTTGTCAGCACCTTAGAAAAACATTTTTCAGCCTTCACTGTGATCTTGAGTTTGGAGATATTTCTGACAAGAGCATCAGCAAAAAGGTTTACCAATAACTTTTTCCACTACATTTACAACAAAATAATGAACCCAGTATGTTATTCTATCAAAACTTTGAATAAGTGTGATAGCTCTAGCCAGTCAATGTCTCCTGTTAGCAACCTTGACAAATTTTCGTCATCCAATCCCTGAATTACATGTATAACTATAATACTTGAAAGACAACCAACTGTATATACAGTTCTTTCTGGTTTAATGAAAAGTTGTTCAAACTTCCAGAAAAGTAAGGTTCATAGAAAGATACAGTCCTTATGTCAGTTTCAAGTTCACACATTATTTTATATTGGATATGCATTGATAACTGTAACACAAGTTCCAATATCACAACAGTTTAGCATTTTAACATCTGCCTGCACTAAGAAATGTACAAAAACTTGTCAAGGTTGCCTAAGATGAAGGAGGGAATGCTTTACCTCTTTTGCACGCTGAGCAGCTAGTTCTTCTTGTCGCTGACGTTCTAACTCCTCAAGCATTTGCTTTTCCATGATACGTTTTGCCTCCTCAACTCTACGGAGGACTTCAGCTTCAATATCATCCTTTCGTTTTTCAAGTTCTTCCTCAACTCGTTTTGCAACCATTTCTTCCACACGTTTTGCCACTTCCTCTTCTATCAATTTGGCTTCCATTTCCTGCTGTCGTCTGTGAGAACAACACGTATGCATAAGAGGATGTGAAATTTTAATAAGACACTTATGAATAGACAATTTTCAAGTTATAGCGCCATTTGATGGTTTTTGTGCTCCCGTAATTTGTTCGCTGGTTGTTTCGGCATCACTCCAATTTAGGTACCAGACGAGATTTGATTCTAAAATGGGCGTTATGTACAGTTGAAAAAGTCCAACTATTGCCTTTAATTTTGTTGGTAATAATGAATCACAATCCAAAATAGTTGGTGATTGGCATGATATCATAGTTTATTTATATGAAATAACAGTACTAGTTCAGCGTTTACTAGTCCGCTAATTTGGATATTCAGGGCATGTTCTTCCTGTTTAGGCAATCACAGTGTAGGTTATTTTTTTAAATAAGGCCATCGTAAAGTTTATTCATCAAAGCTATATTTGGTATGTACTATTTGTATCACGAAAAGTATATTTTCTAGAGATTACTACACACCACTATTCTACACCAACAAAACGACCAAAGTGTATTTTCTAGAGATTACTACACACCACTATTCTACACCAACAAAACGACCAAAGTGTATTTTCTAGAGATTACTACACACCACTATTTTACACCAACAAAACGACCGAAGTGTATTTTCTAGAGATTACTACACACCACTATTCTACACCAACAAAACCACCAAAGTGTATTTTCTAGAGATTACTACACACCACTATTCTACACCAACAAAACGACCAAAGTATATTTTCTAGAGATTACTACACACCACTATTCTACACCAACAAAACGACCAAAGTGTATTTTCTAGAGATTACTACACACCACTATTCTACACCAACAAAACGACCAAAGTGTATTTTCTAGAGATTACTACACACCACTATTCTACACCAACAACCAAAAAATCAATTCATTGGTTGGTCACCACCATCTTCATATAGTTTTATTTAGTGTCATTTTTGCCAAACAGTGCATTTCATTTGCATTCATTTCCAAACTCAAAGTTTTCGCCAGGAGCTCAATAATTTGTCTTTTCTACATGTTGTAAAATACAAATAGTTGTTTTAGGGGATTAACAAGACAAGGGGGAACAGGGTTCTCCCCAGAAAAAAAGCATAGCGCCGGGGCTAATTTGCATAATAATTTGCATATCATTTACATATCATGCAATTCCTTCATTGATTAACAGAACTTATTTACAATTATGAATATTAGTGAGCTCAGTCACAGGGCAATTATTTTTTTTAATGGAATCAACACATTATATTTCACAATTTAGAAGAGTTTGAAACATTCTCGAAATACAAATGCTGCAGACTAAAAACACAAATAAATTATTGTTGCAATTTAATTGTTTTGTAAAACGTTGAAGGAAACGCATTCAAAACGTTAAGCCAGATTTATGTTCACGATCTCATAATTTATT